TAAGAATAAAGGAATAAAATGTACAGCATTTACGAAAGCTGAAAAACAAATTGACTGTCAAAGACTAGATTTTTTAAGAGATCTTGAATAACATACGTGTACTTAGAATTACATAGATTATAACAGTGATTCACACAAACACTGTAGAAAGAATTGGTGCAATGTTAACTGTTTTGAAGGCATTGCTATTTATTATTATGCTACAGAGCATAAAACTCAGAAGATCTAACAAATTGGCACAGTGGACTTTGATCTCTGTTCTTTTCTTTCTACTGTCTAAGTCTTAACTAAAAGTGTTGTTCTGGGACTTAACGCCATTTTTCAGCACACAATACCTGGCGGCCAGTTTTAAATGGTTGAGGAAGAAAACGGGAAATTAGCGGAAAGAACTACCGATCCATGAGGAGCTACTGGCAATCTTTCTAACATATCCACATTCGCCGAATCATAGACTGGAACCCACACAAACAGAGGTGCGATGGCAGTGATCCGTAAATAGAGCGCTTTAGACCACTTGGCCACTCGGAGCCTCTTAAGTAAAGATGTAGCTTTACCAGACTCAATAAACAGATAGTACGGTACGAAAAAGATGCAAGCCACGATAAAGCTCACAAGTAAATCCGATCAAAGTGGGCGACAGATGTAAATCTTTGGTGAACTGTGGACAGTGCAGTCTATTACTAAGGAAAGAAATGCCATTCTTCGCATGTTGGCATAGGTCTGAATGTCATGAGGACTGCAAACATTGTGTGAGACATCTAGTGTCGAAAGGATATTCAGTGTTCGTGCTGCATTAAGCAAGTTTTGGACCAGCGTCAAATCATGGCAATATATTTAAATATGTCTCAACGACAACACAATGGTGTGTGTGTTGCTGAGAATTGAACTGTTCACCATGCCTGGCTGATACTTAAATGTATGCAGTGATATAACAGCATTGATTCCAGGAAGTAGACCTACAAACGATGCTTCCTTTGATTCGGCAAGGTTGTCAGTTTGTCTTTATTTATTTGTCAAATATATATTCGAAAAATAACGGTTATCATCATTGCGTGAAAGTATAACCTTATTTATCGTTACACTTTATATCTCGTGACTATATATGATTTAATTAAATTCAATTCGATATCGTATATATTTTTATCAAATAAAGAACATTTATGCTTATACATTTTTAGATTCTTTCAAACAAGAAATTTCACAATACCTTAACATACCTTTCCCCTTGTCTAATTCTAAAATCAAATAAAAATCATTAGTAAAGGTTATTTAATTTTTACAAAAATCGAATTATGAGGACTTGTGGCAAGGGATTTTTCTTCTCAGTTTTTAAGGATAGTGGTAACATATTTCAGACATATGACCCATGTCTAAATGGTTGCTATTAAATATGGACGGTATGAAAGGAGTAACCTGGGTTTCTCTTAAGCAAATGTTTAGTACGGACTCTCAATGAAAAAAGTTTGTGTCCCAGTATGAAGGTTACTGGCCTAGGGCTTGTCAAACAAATTAAGCTCCTCTGTGTGTGTGTGTGTGTGTGTGTGTGTGTGTGTGTGTGTGTGTACATAATTCCACTCCTAGTGAATATTTTCGAATTAATGAACTTTCGGATAATTGAATCGTGCAAAGCTTAAATGTACAATGTCATCATTACGTATGCATATACATATATGTGATAGCTGTATAGGTATATTCAGTATTGTTTAAAAAAAAAAATGAATACATCTACTGACTTGTTTTTATTTGTTTTGTTATAATACGTCCTTGTGTATAAACAGAACGTTAAGCAATTACTGGAAAATCACTTTTTTGCTGGTCGTTTAATTTTGCCATTGCGCCATATTACATGCGGTGTATAAAGTATAACCAACACGAACTCATATCTTGTCTTGCAGTTAAATTCGTTATGGTAAACTGATGAAATTCAGTCACTTCTTTACTATTTAACAAATGTTCAAGCTGCTGAATAGCCAATAATTTTACTAAAAGGAAACTCTATAGTAAATCAATAAACTTTACGTGTACAGCCATCAACAAATTGTTATTGATACTTAGAATCGGTAAACTACAAATAAACTGTATGACGAACATAGCTATTAACTATGTATTACGTCCAAAGTGTGGACTATTTGATCTTAGCAGTGTGATGGTTTATTTCTTTATACTTTCGCTGGCAACAATACGGTTGCACAGGTGACTAGGTGATCAATTTATACATTTAACTAGCCAATAGATTTTGACCACAGATTCATAAATCGACGCACCTCCATATTTGTGTTGCGAATCTGCATTATCAGACTGGCTCTATATTTATATATTTTTTATATTTAGACAGGTTATTTCCAGGTCATGGAGGCAAGTTTTATAGCGATTTTATCTTTTGGATTCTGATTTTGATATCCGGATTTGGAATCCGGTTTTCCACATTGACATTTACGAATACCTTTATCTTTAGCCAATAGATTTTGACCACAGATTCATAAATCGACGCACCTCCATATTTGTGTTGCGAATCTGCATTATCAGACTGGCTCTATATTTATATATTTTTTATATTTAGACAGGTTACTTCCAGGTCATGGAAGCAAGTTTTATAGCGATTTTATCTTTTGGATTCTGATTTTGATATCCGGATTTGGAATCCGGTTTTCCACATTGACATTTACGAATACCTTTATCTTTGAAATATGTCCGGATTGCAAGGTTCCTGGATAAATGAAGTCCGAAATAACGAGGCTCCTTGTTTACAATCCTGTGTGTACCAAATGGAAAATGTTACAAATACGCTCTGTTATGTGATGTGTAGTAAGGAGGCATGCGTTCTTTTCAATATGGATGCACAACACCATTCATCCTGTCCAGTCAGAAAAGGCGTAGAAAACAAATATTGTAACTGCTGCTGACTTTCACTTAGCGACAAAAAAACCCCACTAAAAACTTAGAGTACTAAATTTGAACCTTTTGGAAATTAATTTTGTTCAGTGCTACGCATCATACATCGTTTCACGTCATTTTATGATATCAATACACTCCGTTTGTCTTTACTATGGTAAATAATTTTCCATCATTTTATAATCTCTAAAGTCCCACCATCTTCCTTAATTATGTTTTATCTTTCAGAATCTTTTCATGTCATGCCGTCATCTCAATTAACTATTTGTTAATAAATATAACACAACACTGCCATAGTGTGTTCTATTTCCATTATTATTACATCAATATTTGTTTTCACATTATTTAGCCGGATGCATCATTCAAAGGATGTTTGATGCTTTGTACTTCTTAACACAAGTTTCCAAAGCAACCAAATGAACTATTAGCATGCGATCAACATAATATTTTATGGTCTTGTAAAGCAAAAAATTTGCATGAGTGCCGTCTGAAATCATTCTTGGTATCTAAAGATGCATATTTGAAGCTCTGGCAACATAAGTCAAGGAAGTGAACTGAAATAAGAACACAATGACGTGATTTAAAAAATTAGTAAACATTTTATGTTAAGCTGATTCTTGCAAGTTTTTTTTCCTCCGGAAAATATATTTAGCGTAAATTTTGCCAGTCCATATTAGTACACTAGAACAAATGTCTCGAAGTATAATTAGTACATCTTTTACATGCAATACTAGAAAGATGACGCCATGCTGCACATGTATAAATATCTATACGTCATATTAGCATACCTGTTTCAAACTATATTAGTATAACCCCCTGAATGCCATATAAGTAAAATCGGCTCAAATCTATATTACTATAAATGTCTCCATGCCATAAGAGTTTAAATATATCCATGCCATATTAGTATAACTATATCCATGCCATATTAGTATAACTATATCCATGCCATATTAGTATAACTATATCCATGACATATTAGTATAACTATATCCATGCAATATTAGTATAACTATATCCATGCCATATTAGTATAACGATATCCATGACATATTAGTATAACTATATCCATGACATATTAGTAGAACTATATCCATGACATATTAGTAGAACTATATCCATTCCGCATTAATATAACTATATCCATGCCATATTAGTATAAATATATCTATGCCATATTAGTATAACTATATCCATTTCGTATTAATATAACTATATCCATGCAATATTAGTATAACTATATCCATGCCATATTAATATAACTATATCCATGCCATATTAGTATAAATATATCCATGACACATTAGTATAACTATATCCATGCCATATTAGTATAACTATATCCATGACATATTAGTATAACTATATTTATGCCATTTTAGTATAACTATATCCATGCCATATTAGTATAACTATATCCATGACATATTAGTATAACTATATCCATGATATATTAGTATAACTATATCCATTCCGTATTAATATAACTATATCCATGCCATATTAGTATAACTATATCCATGCCATATTAGTAGAACTATATCCATGCCATATTAGTATAACTATATCCATGCCATATTAGTATAACTATATCCATGCCGTATTAGTATAACTATATCCATGCCATATTAATTTAAATATATCATTGCCATATCGGTGTAACTATATCCCTGACATATTAGTATGACTCTATCCATGCCATATTAGCATAACTATGTCCTTGCCATATTAATATAATTATAACCCTTCCAAACTGGTTAAACTAAATTGTTACGAGTCTAAAATTTTGAAAAGAAGTAATAGAAAAGAGCGAAGACATTTAGCAAATATTTTATTTCCTTAAAATACAAAGTCTGTATGTGTGTTGTGTATTTATAATTTTGGTTTTAACGTAGGTTTAAACATTTTTTTTCAGTCATATCGCTACGATGTATGCAGTGTGATAGTTTATAATGATGTCTAGCACTGGGGCATCATGCCGCAGACATGTAGCATGTCGTCTCACAGTCACATTATCCTGACTTAAGGTCGAATACTAACACTAATTTCTTAATGCTGAACGCCAAGCGAGGCAGTGGTTAGTATCATTTTTTTAAAAGTCTTTGGTATGACTCAGCCATGGTTCGAACCTGCGACCTTCCGCATCCGAGGCGGACCCTCTAACCACAAGGCCACCTAAGCGGTCAAATACAAAGTAAAAACTGAGAAAAAAGAACTGACGGTATTGCCAATTAAGTCTAAAAAATCCAAAATCTAAAAGTTCCTGAACAGAATTCAGATCAAGTCCCAAAGAGATCCAAAATTGAAAGCGATGACGTGTCTGTTATAGCCTACAAAGTCCTGATTGGACAAATATCTCTTGTTGAATCACACAATTAATATTCCAGGTTTTAATTCTGTATAAATTCTAATAAATGTCTTCATTTAAGAAATTTGTCAGAGCACTTTTGCATTTCTAGAGAAAATGCTCATTTGAATTCAATAATTTGAACAAAAAAATAAAATTTATCCCTAACTGGATGGAAAGCCATCTTGTTTACTTAAAAGACAATAGCCTAGTAAATTCACTTGGGAAACTCCAAACCCCTGACCCTTATTAACATATTGACTCCTTCTTTGTTTATCCAAATAATGAATCGGTTGATAAGCTCTTACACAAAGAAAAATGAAAATGTTATTAATTGTTTGCATAAATGAATTTTTTTTAAAGTCAATCAGGTCAAGCAGAAATGAACTCAATTTTGGACACGGTCAAGTCTAATAAACAATGTTACATTACACCAAAAAATTAAAACTAACAGACAAACAATTACAATAAATATACATAAAAATATCTATGTCATATTAGCGTAAAAATATCCAGGTCACATAATCATTACAATACAGCGTAACAATATTCATATCATATTAACGACATCCATAATATATTAGTATAACTATATTCATTCCATATTAGTAAAACTATATCCATGCTATATTAGTATAACTATATACATGCAATATTTGTATAACTATAGCCATGCCATAATAGTAAAACTATATCCATGCCATATTAGAATAACTATATCCATGCCATATTGGTATAACTATATCCATAATATATTAGTAAAACTATATTCATTCCATATCAGTATAACTATATGCATGCAATATTAGTATTACTATATACATGCCATATTAGTATAACTATATCTATGCCATACGAGTATAACCGTATCCATGCCATATTAGTATAACTATATCTTACCTTATTAGTGTAACTATATCCCTGTCATATTAGCATAACTATATTCATTCCATATTTATATAACCATATACTTGCCATGTTAGTTTAACTATATCCATGCCATATTATATCCATGCCGTATTAGCGATGTCATATTAGCGTAGCAATATCCATGTCTTATTAGTATAACTGCCTCTATGCCATAATTTCAAAGTCAGATGCAATGACCATGAAGGATGGAATGTATAATGCTCTATGATATGTCTCAGTTTGACTTGAACAGATCAAGATGATGACCAATTTCTTTTGAATAAAATGAAAATATTACGCACTTTTGGTATGCTGCTTGCAAAGCCACACTGCTGGTATTTAGCGTATGAAAACATCAACTTGTAGAACCACACTTCTGGTATCTAACCTGTACAGCCACCAACTTGTTGAGTCACACTGCTGGTATCTAACATGTAGAGCCACTAAACCGTATAACCACATTACTGTTACAAATTGATTAGCAATTGGTTAACTGAGAAACAATTTTTTTTCATTGACCATTTATAATTTTTCAACGGGTTTAATTTCGATCTCTGCTAAATATGCCATAATTTATTAAAATATTTTAAACATTTCCTGCCAAAACTGATTACAACAAATTGTTTATCCTCCACATAATTTTTTACAATCATTGCGGGATTTTAAATAATTTTGTACTGCCTTTTAAATTTTCTCATTTTTTTCGCTTAATTCAAAAGAAGTTTCAAAATTTGCTATCACGTTTATTCTCGGCGCTATTTTTTAATTTTGTGGACTGTTTTCTTCGCTAAACTCTGAGTTGGTTTCAAACTTAAATATTTCTTTTAGTCTACATTCTACATTATTTCGAAACAGTGAGTTCGTTTTATCCTGCGCCGAACGTGCGGAGTGCTTTAGACGTGAAACCAGAATACATGAATTACACTAAAATCAAATCATTATTTTACGAACCATTTTGTCAATCGGAGGTATAATTTGAGACCTATATATCTCCAGCAAAGGATCACGTGTGTCAGTGATTGATTGAGATATATGCAATAAACTGACGAAGAACAGTACAAAACTGAGTGCTTTTGTCTCTTAATGAGTCTTTTTCAAAGGCATATATAAAACATATACAAAACAAACAAATTATCAACCTCGTATGGCACGATCTACCTTTGATGTGATCTAACACCCTTTCGGTCCTGTATTTATGTTGTGTTAGTGTATCCGTTCCAAATTTTTCCGTTTGTATTTAATTAATTGTTGTATGTATTAGAATGGAGAAGTTGTCTTAACAAATACATAAATCTTTCAAAAGTTTACGCAATGAAACTTATACCTTACTTCATTTTAAGCATCATCGCCAAAGAAACTAATGCCTTACTTCGTCTAATGCATCATCGCATACAGAAAACATTCAAAACTTAATGCAATGAAACTAATGCATTACTTCGTCTAAAGTATCATAGCACTCTCTTGTTTCACTTCCTCGAAACAAGCACAGTCACTAAAGCTCCTCAAATTCATATGAAGCCACAAATTATTGGCAAGAGTTCAGATTCAACAAGAGGAAATAAAATAACTCACGGTGTTTCCGTGAAACTTACAGCCCTACTTAGTGAAAACTTAAACCATCAATATCTAGTCAAATCAGCAACTATCGAAGAACTAAAGCAACAGCTCAATTCACTGTTATCAGAGAAGCAATTGCAAACGTTTTACTCTAAACTAAAAAAGGATCAGCAAAGACTCTCTTCAAAACTATACAAAGTCAGAGATAGAAACCCTAGAAATCATGCTCTACAACCAAATGACTGTTCTGAAGAAACTTCAATTGAGGAAATTTCTTATAAAAACAACCATAAAAAAGAAACAATGCCGGAAAAGGAAGAATCGCAAACATTCTGTAACAAACACTAATTCATCTGTCACTAACACAGTAGTCAGCATCTCCAATTTAGAACTTGCTGATGCAAAATTAAACTTTTATCAAAAGGTTTGAGTTTCTGTCCGCGTCCAAAACAAATGACAGAGGGAAGCTTAAGAAGGACACCAAGGAGTTTAGCCGCCGACTAAGACTCAAAGCTCATTTTGCCTTACAACCAACAAATAAAACAAAGGAAAATATAAGATGAGATCAATCCATATTTAGAAAGAAAACTACCTGGACCCCACCAAAAAGTTCAATTTCGAATCTAGAAGTCTTTATCAACTCAGTTGAAAACAATATTTTCAGACATATCAACCATGCTAACAAATGCTCTAATTTGTCAAAAGAAGAAACAAATGCCCTAAACTCACTGAAAAGCAGAACGTACAGTTACAATTCAGGGGTCTTTTGCTTGACCGAGCGATGTCAAAACCCTGGGCTCGAATCCCACTAGAAGTCATCAGTTTACCCCATATTTCCAAAGACTTCTATACAACTTCAGTTGTAAGTTGGAAAGCCAAATGTGTCCATTATGTACATATATTTTACAATAATCAATACAAGACCACATTACTTACAACTTGCAATTTAGCCATCAAACGCACATCCTCACAGTTTCTAAATATTAACTTTCCCTTCCGCTTGTAATTCACACCGTAGAAACTGCACAACTATTACTAACACTGCGAACTATTTTAACTGCCCACTTGAGGCCAGTCGAACTACCGTTTTAAGACACATCACACCAGTAAACCTACATCCCATTTGCCACTATAGCAACATAAACGGTATCTACCGAGTCCTTTCACATTTATCCCATGGTGTAATTTACTACCATAAAATACTGCCGCTGCAGTCACAACACCGATGTACACCACTAGTTTTTATAAAGTGCTCTATCACGACAGGGACAGTCATGCAGATAGGGTCTGAGTTCGCTAATCATTGACCATAGCATCTTAAAAACTCACTAACACTTTCTCTCTATGACATGTGCTACCTACAAATTGCTTAAAATAAATACGCACCTTCTTAATTTTATTACAGTACATTATAATTAAACCTGCACATAGGGGTTTCCCTGTTGTCGTTATGAATAGGCTAGACTACATTAGTGAAGCAAGCATACAACTAAGTGACGTTAGGTTCTACCAAAAGTTAGACCATGATCCAACGCTGGAATATGTCAAACTCATCACTAAAGCTATTGACGAGGCGGACACATAGACCAGCAAACGAAAAACTACTTAAGCCCAAAAAACCCAAGGGCAGGTAGATTTTATCTTCTACCCAAAATCCACAAGCAAGAAAATCCTGGCAGACCTATAATCTCTGGTAACGGACACCCCAGAGAAAGGATATCTCATCACATGTACAATCTGTAACCTTCAGCATGTCGGATAAACTGAAAAGCTATACAAAAAGATAAATCTTCATAGATCAGATTGGGTGATAAAGAAGCTGAACAGAAGCTCGGTCGCACATTCAGCCCTGCCCACACATTCAGTAATATAACACTTATCGCCAACGCTAAAAACCCTAACTGGAGTTCCGAAACCAGAAAGGATTAGAAATCTTACTGGATGCGCCGCCTTAGAACATTTAAACCAAGCTGTCTAAACCAAGAAGACTAGAAAATGAAAATTATGCAATAGTAGAATTATCCTTTGCAGCCGACAAATTTTCTTTTCAAACATTGCTAAATCTTCTTAGTATCCTTTAATTACTACTAAAAGAATAATAAATCCAGAATATAATCAAATATCCGGGATATAAGTTGCGTTACATAAATGTACACAAAGTAATAGATGTTTCTATTGCTCATACATTTCTAGATGAATACAAATATTTCCCAGTATCCGCAACAAGTCTGTATAGGCAGTTGAGACATAATGCATTTATAGATTTAATTCATGTAAAAACGGCCAAGCAGAATTTTACAAAGAAAACGTTTTATATGTTTTATTTATTTTTGTTGTCTATGTTTTGTATAGGTCTTTGAAAAAGACTCTTT